ATCAAAAAGATTTCATACACACATACTGCTTATGTGTGTTAAGACCTATTCCACATACTTTACAGATATTAATTTATTTAGTTCTCATAAGGTTACCTAAGTAAGATGTTGTTTCCACTTTTAGAAAGATGTAGAGGGAAAAATGGTTGATTACAAACCTGGCTTAGAGTAAAATATGCAGATTTTAAAATTATTGTTTATTTGTTATTAGTTAATTACAGGTATTTGAGAGATAAATTAGAAAAATAACTTTAGGTCAGTAATATCTGTTCTGTCCACTAAATAATGCAATTTGTTTGAATATGTTAGTGATGTTTTATCTAGAGGAATAATTTCTATTTATTTAAAAAAATGTTAATAAACTGTCATAGAACAATGTAAATGACCCTGGGAAAACTGACTGTGTTGTGATGTTTAGTGTCAGGGTTGTGTTGTTAACCAAAGTCATAAACATGAGAAAGATGAATGAATCATCCATCATCTCTTGACCTTAGCTTTTCTAAGAAGAAAGTAGATGGAGCTAGGCATGGGGAAAGTAAGTTTCTGCCTATAATCAAGTTATTAAAATTACTATAGGGTGAGGATCCTCAATTGGAAAATCTAAAATTCTCTGAAATCTGTAACTTTTTTAAGCATGATAAGTTTTAGAGCATTTCAGATTTTTACAGAGATGCTTAATCAATAAAATCTATACAAGTATTCCAAAATCAAAAGAAAAAAAACAACTCTGAAACCTGAAACACTGATTGCTAAGTGTTTCTGTTAAGGGGTGCTTAACCTTTACATGTAAAGAGCTTTAAATATGGTATTTTGAAGGGAAGAAGAAATGATTGAAGAAGTTTAACTTACATTTTACTCCCCAGATGTAATGGGAGCACTTTCAGCTCACTTACCAAGGGCCATGATGCTGTTGCTTTTAGAAGGCTTACCTCTTTTCATAATTTGTCTGAGTTGGTTCATTTCTTTTGGTGCTCTAGCAGACCTTCACGTATTACCTGTTCAATTGAGCTACTACAGGGATTTTTAAAAAATTTCTTAGTATATAAACTCTTGATTTTGTTCTCTTGTGCTATTGTTTTCTTGTACTTGTTTACACTTCAGCTTTGAGAGAAATAAAATAGAAACCTTGATAATCAGCATTATGTGTTTTTTAACCTGTTCTCTTATTTCAGCTTTACTTTTAGAAGCCCAGTCAACACCATTTCAGGTCACACCTTCAACTATGGCAAATATTGTGAAAGGCCTGTATACTCTCAGACCAGGTAAACACCTGTCGTTTTCATTGGGATTGGGCCTGTTTATTTGTTTTATTACAGCCTTATCCAAGAGGGCAGTAGTTCTTTATGTACTTTGTGATGCCTAATGATATTTGGATTTCCTATAGCAAAAAAATTGAGTAGCTGTTTATCAATGTGCAGTATAAAACTCAGAGCTCACTTAGAACTCTCTTGTGGTGAGAACCAACTAGTTTGGTTTTTGTAGTATCTGTAAGGGGGAAAAACAGAAATAATTGTGGGATACATTTTGAATAAAATTGAATCTCATGTTTGGCCTTAATTTTAAAGAGTTCCTCCTTTACTTCCCACCCCATGATGCACATGTGCCCTGCCACACACACTCACAACTCATCTTCTTAGGCCTGGGTTCTAATTGGCAGGGAATCTAGAGTTGGTGCAGTTACAGTCAATTCATAAGGACGTTTTGACAAGATATACAATCAAAGTACATGGCATTCAGAGCTTGATTTGTAAATTATCCTAATGTGTTTTAGAATAAAAACAATAGATTTGAAGAAATCCCAAGGAGCCTTTGTATGTATCTTCTTGTTTGTAAATCAGAATGTCAAATTTGTCATAAAGTTTTTTAGCCAATTTAAAAATACTGAAGGGAGAGAGATTGCAGAACTTCTCAGGGTAGAATATTGTTCCCTAATTTGTAAGCATAAAGGGTGCCTTTTTAACAGTAATTACCTTTTTGTGAAATTATTTTGTTTGAGGATTAAATGAAATAAGCATGACGTAAAGAGCTTGACACAGTACCTGATAACATAATAGGCGTGCAAAAACTGCTTTTGCTACTATTCATTTGAACTTGTTATTTTATTGAATTGATGACTTGATTGGTTAATTAATTTTTAAAACATGTCAGAATTTAGCTTGATGAAATGGAAACCAGGTGAAAACCGTGGAATCACAGAAATAGACTGATTCCAAAATAGCTTCTTTCTCAGGCTACTTTAAACCTTGAATGATATCTGGAATATTCAAATTTATTGTGATTTAAATTTGGGTCAGGTCTTGAGCTCTATTTATAACTTCTAACAGGAAGTACTGGTGTAAAGCTGCAGAAAGATTCCATTGCATGTATCCAGTAAACTGATATTTTTCATTTTCTAGTTTTTCAGACATTTGAATTTCATTTTACCTCAGTGAAAATGGCTCATGAAATGTTTTTGTGTGCTAGTTTATGAATTTATTTTTTTATGTTTGGAAGGCTTCCAAGTGCAGTATGACAAATTCTGCCTCCCAAGTAGGCAGCTCTATCAGTTCTGGCTTTTGTCAGAAGTAACAAAATTGCACAATAAAGCTAATCACTATGGGTAGGAAATATTGTAGATACATGTTTATCTAAATGCTATTTTATCCAGGTTCGAGCTGTTGTAATAGGATTTATACTACTTGTGAGGAGGATTCTGCATTTGAGAATTGTCCTTTTCAAAAGGTGAATTTTATCACAGACCAACCTTTTGCTGCCCTATGCATTTTCAGAGTCCCTTTTAAGCATATTTTGACATTTACAGGTCTTGGTTCCTGGTTATATTCCTAGTTTATTAAAGCAATTTTATTCAACTGACAGATTAAGGTTAGAATATTTTAAAAGTTGAATTTTAAAGGTAAAAGTTTCTTCAGTTGTAAGGTCTCTCAGATGCTGGTCTTTTATGCTGCTGTGTCTGAATAACCTCTGAAGGTTTCTAACTAGATCCACAGACCTATTGTAGAAGGTTGTGAGGACTTAACCCTTGTTGCTGTGTTTCCATCGTTTCAGAAACTCAGTCTGGAAATAGTTGGGCAGTCTCACCTTGCCTTTTTCCATTTAATACCTTTGTTTGTTTCTTTATCTTTATTTTTAAAAATCACTACCTGAAGTTCCATAAGTGGCAGAGAGATTTGACTTGCATCCTCTCTGACTGGTTAGTACTTCCTCAGAGCATGACAGTGATGCTCTTTTTAATGCCAGATTTGAGCTGGGCTGGCAGTAGGGACTCTATTGAGAACATTTTGCCATAAGTTTGTGCAAGGGCTGATGGATTGGCTTTTGTATCATTTACAATGCTTGCTTAGTTCCCATCTGTAGCTTAACTGTTGTTTACTTTCATTTTTTTTTAACTATGTTGATGTTGTTTGCTTTCACTTTTTTTTTTTAAAACTATGTTGATCCAGCATCACATAGCATCAGATATGGCTTTTTCAGATTTAGAATTATTTACATAGGTTGCACTTTTAAAGTGAGCTTGCTGGTTTAATGAACATTGACATTTTAATGTTTTTTGATGCAGACAGCCACAGTGCTTTACAACTGGGAAATTTTGAAAGGGCTAGATTAAAACAGTTGGAAAGGGCTAACAGAGTTGTCACTGAGCACCACCACCAGGGAAGGGAGTAGTGGTGCCCTTGGTACAGGTGGGCATTATTTCTATTTAATGTTGGCTGAACATGGGGAACAGAGTGGTTCTTTTTAACTTTTTAATTCTGTTCTCCCTGCCCCCAACTCCAAGAATTACCATTCCTATCTTTCATTCCTTTATCTGGTCTTACAAATTTGTACAAATACTTTATAAAGATTCTAAAATCATTTTTGTTATGTCCAGTGTAAATATTTTCCTGTGGCTTCTATTTGCCTTTTTCCCCCCTATAGATTATTCTCATGACCTTTTCTTAATAACTTGATACCCACTTCTTTTATTGTTTATATTTACATACACACAATAATTGTTTGTAAGTTTGTTACAATTTAATGTTGAGTCAAAAACAATTTTTTTCCTAAGTAGTGACCAGTTATCTCTAGCCCACTGATCAAATTTTCATTCTCTCCACCCCTTTTTTATGTCTATTTTTCTCTCTAGTGTTTTATTCTCCAGCCAGTATATCATTTTAATATTAGTTATTTGGCTAACAGGGCTGGTATATCTTCCCAGTCCTTTGTCTCCAAGTCCCCTTTGAATCAGAATTGTTTGGAATTCTCATTTGTGTTTTCTCCATATTTAGAAATTTTGACAAGATCATTAAAAAACTTCCTAGAGATTTTCATTAAATTCTGATAAATCAGTAAAATGTAAAAATGCCTGCTTTCTTCATACTGTAAATTCTCTTTTCTTTATTTTTAATAACTTATTTATTTAATTATTCTTTTTTTATGTGGTGCTGAGAATCAAGCCCAGTGCCTACACATGCTAAGCAAGTGCTCTACCACTGAGCCCCAACCCCAGTGCTATGCATTCTTTTTAGGAAAAAGATTTAACCACTGTGTATGTTCTTTACCAGAACAGGATTGAATTGTTCCCCCCACCCTGCCATGTTTCATATTTGGTTTAATATATATTTTGTTCTTTAAATGAAAGAAAATTTTCACTTTTCCATTTATCTATGTGATTTCCTTAATGAATCTTTTCCTTCCCTCACAGAGTGGGTTCAGATGGCTCCAACTCTATTTTCTAAATTTATTCCAAACATTCTCCCTCCGGCAGTGGAATCTGAACTTTCTGAATATGCTGCTCAAGATCAGAAACTTCAAAGAGAGCTTATACAGAATGGTTTCACAAGGCAAGTTGTTTTTTTTAATTTGGTGACAAAATATGTCCATATCCTTAGACTGCTCTGGTGTGGTGGGGGAGGGATGCCAAGGGCTTAGAAGGTAAAGTTACTTTCTAGGAGCCAAGGCACTGCTGTCTGATGAAGTAGTTAGCTCCTTGTTGGCACAGTTATTGAGGTTAGATTTTGAGCTTGTGGAAACTACTCTTCACTACATGCATTTTTGAAGAAGGGATTTCTCACTGGGTAGCCAATTAGGATGGACAGCTTCCAAGCTCTCTTCCCAATTTATTCATTAGCTTTTGACATACGGAAAGACATTGTAGAAATTTGATTGGTTATAATATGCTTTTATGACTAACTAGAGAAGAAGCTTTAAATCCTACAATTCAGATTTTTGTTTTTTTCTCTAAAGTAAGATTGTTTATTATTAAAAAGTACAGTATTTCCTTATACATGTCCAGAAGAGTTACCTCTCTTGCTTTTGGCATTTACACTGTGCTTGTTTTTCTTAAATTTGCAAGTCTTTATCATGGCCATACCTCAGAAAATCTTGGAAAGTACGTTTTCAACTAACTTAAATGTAAAATTTTTGTGGTTTCCCTGTGGAAAAACACCTAGTTATATCACTAAATTGTTTAAGGGCATAGTGATACCTTGTATTTTCATAATTCTTAGTCTTAGCACTTTCCTGTATCTTTCTATATTTGAATTCCTGGCACTGAAGAAGAAACTTGTGGATGTCTTAGTCATAGTTGTGTCCACAGATATTAGGTTGAGAGTTGACTCATTTGTCTGTTGAGGGCTGGAGAGGGACATTTCTCTTTCATAGGTTCTAAGGTCAAACTAAATTTCAGAGAAACTGGCCTTGACCAGGATCACTGTTATTACAGTATCTGTTTCAACCCAGGTTAGGAAAGAAAGCAGGTAATTTTTTTGTTACTCTTTGTTATTCCATGGATTGACATTCCCCTTTTTTACCCTGATGGCATGTGTATTTGTGTGGTAATGGGGACACTGAGTCACCCACTGGTTCTCTACCTTCTTCCCTGGTATTTGCACTACAGAGGCCCAGAGAAGCTGTGTGACTTGGCCAGGTAGACCTGACTTTCTTGTAGTTAGGGGAAGGAAGAACCAGAGAGAACTGCTGGAATGTTTCTCTTTGATGTTGAAGGATCTGGAATTATTTGACTAATTGTATTTCTGGCAGAAATAGGGTGGTTTTATTTGTTTATACACAACATGACTGTCAAATGACATATTAATTTTACTCATGTGGTTTAAAAATAAAAATGATACAGAAAGTATACAATGGGAAGTTTGACTCCCATTTGTCCCCATGTCTAACCTCACCTAGTTTAGTAACTCTTACTCTGTGGTTTCTTGTAATTCCTTCCGTTTTTTTTTAATATACAGATATAAGAAAACATAAAATATGTCTTTATTTTTATTAATTTCTTTATACATTCCATTGTGTGGATGTATTAAATATACTATAGCTTATTTAACCAGTCCCTAGGAGTTGGCCTTTGAATTATTTCTGGTCTTTTGAAGTTTGGGAAAATGCTACAGTGAAGAA